GTTGACAACCTGCGAGTTCTTGAAAGTAATTCCATCCACAGTGTTGTTGCTCTTTCCACCGACGGATCCGATGCTGAGACCGTGGCCACCGGAGCAGTACACATTGTCAACAACAATGTGAGTTCCACTGGTAACCGCAACACAGTCATCCTGGTTGTACACTTCGATATCCTCCAAGGTAATGTAGTCACTGGAGGAAACGTCGAATCCATCGCTGTTGTGGGCTGCCGCCTTGCTGCCGCTAGCAGACTTAGGCTCATCTCCTGCCGTATTGTTCAGAACAAGACCGGAGATGACGACGTTCTGGCTTCCAGTAATATCAAAGCAGTGGACGGGCCAATTCATAATGTTCAGATTGGTGATCTTGGAGTTGTAGGTCTTCGTGACGACGAAGAAGTGGTCGGGCCTGGATATAGTTGTTAGCGATGAAATGAGATGTGTGTGACATTCAAGACTGACTTGTCCTGGCCGCCGTTGGAACCTTCTCCGTCCCAGTAGGCAGCACCATTGCCGTCGATAACGTGGCCCTCGGCACCAGTTATGGTGATACCGTGGCCAGAGACGACAATAGGATCGAAATTATCGTCGTATGTATCTCCGAAAGTCTTTGAAAGATCAGTGACATGCCCAAGTAGTATCTATAGTATTTTGACTCACAGTAGTGCCCGCAAAGGTCACAACGGCACCAGTCTGGAGACTCTGCAGATCAATGGTGCTCGAGGGAGGGGCATAAAAATCAGACAGCACGATGTTGGTGCAAGACTTGACAGCAGAAGAGAGAGAGGCGTATTCGGACACAACACAAGTAGTGCCGGATCCAGTCGAGTCCGCAGTAACGGTTGTCGCGGCCTGAATAGTCGTCAGCGCCGCAGTGGCGGCCGGCACATCAACCAAAGAAGTAGTGGAGAAGGCCGGGCGGGTGGCCTTGACGAGAGTAGTCGAGCTAGTAGCCGAACCGATTGAAGCAGCAGTGGTGGTAGTAACTGCGCTGGTTGCAACAGCTGTGGTCTGTGCCGATCCGGACTGGTATATGTTAGGGGTTGTAGCTGTAAGTTCGACCATAGAAAAACTTACTCCTGATACTTCGGTAGTCCAGACAGTATCGAGGCAGCTACAGGCACTCGATAGATGCTTGGTGTTGTATTCACAGGCAGAAGCAAAGCTTGGAAGGCGGGTAGTAGCGGTCACTATGCTAGCAGTGAAGGTCGCGCAGAACTCTGCGGCAGCAGAGCGGGATGCAGTATAAGCCGAAGGACAGGCATAGCTTTGTGGGTTTTTACATCCCAGAGCAATTGGGACAAGAGAAAGGAAGAGCGCACAGCGCATTTTGAAAGGAATGAATGAATAAGAATGAATAAGTGAATGACAAATGGAGAAAAGAACGATGGGAGAGAAAAAACCAAACTTTCCTAAGTCCTGACGGGACTGAAGAAGTCTTATACTCATCTTTGTCGGCTCGGTGGTTACGAATTGACTCCACCTGACTAAAGCTTGGTCGCTATTTTCAACACGTCAAGCCCACATCAGGGAACTAGCCCGAATATTTCTGATTATTTGGCTTAATTTGACCTGAAAATCAACCAATAAAGTCTACGGACCCCTGACGGAAAGTACATAATATCTCCGTCGAGCAGACCTAATGGTGTCAATGACATGGCTTGACCCTACAAGAACCACGGAAAGTGTTGAGGCCCACTTAGTCCACGTAGCAAACAAAAAAAGAAGTGGGGATAAGGGGGCGAATCCCGAGGTTTGGATTTGTCTTTCGCTTTAGGGAAAGACACTTTTACTAGCAAAAGCTTCTATCAACACTAGGGAAAGACACTTCCACTAGCGAATATATTCAGTCTACCCCGCATCTCTTCAAATCCTTCATTAAATGATTCACATGTAAAATAAAATATACATATATATATATATTGAAATGGGGATGGCTCAATGGCAGTCTGGCATAGCAGACAGGTCGATATCATGGATGAAGGATCAAGCAACCAACACTCCCTAGACAGCACTAGTAGACAGCGGAGCGTATACCCTGAGACTTCTTCATAATAAAAGGGCTGGAAACGAAAAGAGTGAATTGTATGATGCTAGCCCAGTCCTCTGCTGGAATCCCAACATGGAGGAATGCTATCTGACTGGCCACGTGACTAATAGTCCGTCCATCTTTCTACTATGTCACCGGTTCCACCACTACAATATATATATACGTATATAAATAAAATATAGGACTTGGCCAGAGTTGTGAAAAATTGAGCAAATAAAGACATACTCATGTCAGACAGCTATTCAACAAATGAGGATAATTCCGAGAACGCATTCCATATCCTTTGGTGAGGCTGGCATTCGAAGCAAATAAGATACAGTAAGGTCCGAGTACTCGAGTTGGTGCCTGTGGATCCCCGGGCGGTTTTCTGCGACACACCAAGTTTCATCCTGACGGTGACTAGCTACTCCTGCTGCACTAATTCGGAGACACATTTTGCCCCCTAAACCGCTGCACCGGATTTAGCTTATTCAGAATCGACTTCACTTGGCACATTTCAGAGCCGAAAAATTGCACTTTGTATTAAAAAAAAGAGTTCCCTGATTTTAAGGGCCTGTAACTCGACTGTTTAGCGTAATTTTCTGCGAGATAGGTAGCGGAGAGACGATTAAAGAAGCTCTGTCGGCTCGATAACTATTAGGAAATGTAATATTAAAATGCCTCATCAGAAAATCAGGTGAGTTATTTGTTTTGAATCTTGCTTTAGCTCCACGGTAGCACTGCAACAGGCTTTTCTTGGATTCCGTCTCCGACCAAGCGTATCCATCCCCAGCCGATGGCTGTAGCCAGACTTGGCCGGGAGCGACGACAAGGCCAAGTCAGTCATCTGACGCGAGTTAGTTTCGCTCATCAGGCGGAGACAAGACCATAACATACTAAAATGGGCTGCCAATGCCTCACGGCGCTGTTGTCTGAAGAAGGTGCGCTTCTCACTGCTTGTGAGAACCATAATTGTATTTGATCCTTCAGACAAGGCTCAAACCCTTGATATATGTCCAGGCTAGGCGGTAGAGATCGTATGCCTCGACGACTTCTCGGCTGAAGACGATCTGATTGTCGTTCAAGCATGAACACCCCGGTAGGGCCCACCGGTTACCGATGAGCACAGTTGACCGTTGGAAATTGTCATTTTCTGCAGCGTTGATTTTACCACGACAATCATAAGCAATATTCGGCAGATTTGTAACTATAATGTAGAGAAATTACTCTTTCGACCATGAGTCCTCATCCATTGCAGTCCACCCTCGCTCTCGGCTGATCTATCTAAGTTCGCTTCTGCTGTTTGTTAGACCAGTCATGCAGCCCTTCCATCCGAACCACGTGTAATGCGGCCGCAGGATTCGGATTCTCTCCCGCGGGCTGATCTTTCCACGTAGTTCCAACCCTAAAAAGGCTCCGAGAAAGCTTGTCAACTTTGGACTAGGAAAAGGCAAGGTCCGCTGCTGGCGTTTCACATCCACTCTCGCTTTACTTTGGAGGACTCTGACAAGGCTGCCAAGTTCAAGCAGAGCCCGCCCCTAAGTACGTTATCACCTCCAAGTTTCTCCGTATTTATGATCCCGAGAAAGTGGAATGGAGGAGATGTCTGGGATGAGCAGGAATACAACCATATAACAAAACGGAATGCCCCGAACCTCTACTAACAACCACATTCTTCCCCAAACAGCGCTCAAGGCTAACGACGGCTCTAAGCGTGGCAAGACGAAGACCAGACTGTTGTGGGTTTTTATTGTCTTTCCGTACCTCTATGTGCTAGAGATGAGAACGCCAAAATGTTGTGATATGAGGCTGGTGCAGATCAGGAACCAAGCCGTACCATCGGAATTAATCCCGAGGTGTCTATGCGAAGAAACAAGTTGATTTCCAATCAACTTGATCTACTCTTTGTGTATATATAGCCTCAGTTATTCCCACTAGTTCAGAATAATTTAATCTTCCTTTGAACTACAACACTTCTAGGTACCCGATGTCCTCTGCCGTGAGGACACGCTGTCCTTGATCACCCTGATTGATCACTGAGCAGTCCCTGTGTAATTGTTTGAACGTGCTCCACTTTGTTCCTGGGAACTTATCAGTTAGTGCTTTGATTGGTCACAAGTGATTCCTGTAAGTTACGTGTGGTGGTTTTTTGAGGGTTTTGTTGGTTATTGTTACTCCCCGCAGGTTGCTGGCGGCCTGCCTCGTAATACTTGTTTGGGCTATCGAATGCCACACTAGACTTATATTGCTTTAAACATTTCTAAATGGCGAGACTTGAGACCATAGAAGTCATTGAAATCTATTAGGCCAAATTTAAGCATGCCCTTTGCCTGAAGGTCACTCGGTTTGGGCCGGAAGCGTGAGGGATTTCATGAACTATTGAATATTGTCCAAGGAACAAGGATATAGTTCTAAACCGCCAACCAGCCTGCCACCAATAAACGGCCAGTATTAAGCGGCATGGCTATTCGGGAAGGCCCCGATGCTAACGATGTTAGCGCTGAGGCGCCCCTCGAATTCTATAGATTTTTGCGGCGTCTGACCGTCAGTTCTCTGCCCCTGGTCTTTGGCCCTGTCTGTAGGCCTGACCCTGTCTCTGATCCGTCTCTGATCCCGTCTCTGATCGCTTGTTGGTCCGGTTTGGCCCCAGACTAGACATGCCTTAGATGTGGCGTCGTGCGCCAATCTGGGCTCGGCACGACATTAAGTACTTGGGCTGATATTTGTCTCATCTACAGAGTCCGTCGTTATTGTTGGCTCCACCCTGACTCTATTGCCGCTAATTGCTCTCTTTAATATCGGTCTTTCCTTCTGTTTCGTTATTTGTTTTCTTTGATTTTGTTTCGCTTTCTGGAAGGCTTTTCCTTCCCTACTATTAAGGTCTGGGGTCTTATTTTAATCGACTGAACTTGTTATACTTCTTACTATTTATCTTCTATTGCATACTGGCTGGATCCTAGTATACCCATAAGAGATGGCGAGAGACACGACAACAGTCACGTCTCGCACCCAGCGCACCGAGACCATATCATTTCCCGTGTTGACCTATAGCGACGCCTTGCCCCGGAATGACCTTCGCGATCTTGACGATCAACCTTCAAAACGTCTAACCCGGGCTGGAATTGTTGGAGAATGGGACTTCCGACAGCCCTCTCCAGTAGAGGGGTGGTTTAGAAGACCACCGCCAGGCCCTGGTGCGAATTTCGACTTTCAAGTGACATCGCCAGCGGATGAAGTCATTTCATCTAGCAACGGACCGACCGAGCAGTATATGATAGGAGTTGCACTGGGTAGCCCAGGCATGATCAACGAAGATGAACCTTTACCGCCGCCTCGGTTCGATACAGCAATCTTCGAGCCAGAGCGAATGACACAAAGCCCCCAGGCTTACAAACAGAGCAAGTGGAAGAAGATTGGGGGACTACTCAAGGCAAAGAATGCACTTACATCGCCATCAAATCAACTACATGGAAGCTTGGCTCAGCAACCCGAGAAGTCCAACAAGCCCAAGGAAAGGAATAATTCTTTGGAAGAGTGGTCGGCTTTTGAGGTAGACCCTAAGGCAATCATGGGCGGCGTTAATCAAAGCCCTTCACGTTCTCGGAAGTTTTCACTGAGCGGGAGGAAAGCGCCTCCAGAGGAACCACCCGTTCAAAGGCCCTTGCTGAGTGTCGACATCCCGGATATCCAAATGGAGCGATATAGTGTCATGTTCAGCGACGTTGTCAACAAGAACGAGAGACCTTCACTGCTGGCCAGAAGGGCAAAGACATTGGACAATCTCCGTGTCCCGGACGCAAATGTAGGGCTTATCCGAAATATGTCTTGATATAGAACTTATTGCTATGATATAGGGATTTCTGAAAGCGCCTGCGCCACCTCCAATGCCACAACGCCGGGCAACGTCGCCCGCGAGATCTAGCTTCACCTTATTCCCAAGCTCACAGCCGTCCAAGGCGGCTCGGTTACTCGGCACGCAGAACTTCTCTCGCGGCCTAGGCCCTCTAATCAGGTCCAATACGTTGCCAGTCGAAAGTCCGTCTAAGGCATCGGCAAACCACTCTCGCAACAGCTCGAACATCAACAGCACATCTTTATTCGAATCACCTGTCATCCCGAGATTAAACGAGCGCTCGAGTTCAAATACCCCGCGATCATCTAGCAGCCTAGATAAACCTCTTCCCGCAATCAAGCATGAGCCACAGGCTTCCCACCAGCAGCGAATTGTTCAACCACCGAAGAACATTCTCTCGCCGCAGAAGTCTCGATCAAACTCGTTCGCAAAACAGCAAAACAGTACTCACCCTGTTCCTCCAAGGCAGGATCAACAGCCATGGAAGATTACACATCCACCAAGAAAAGACTCTCAACCGAGGACAGGTCAAAAGCCACCCCAGGTTGCCTCGTCACAGAAGCAGAGTACACATCACCGTGTCGACCACAGACCAGACAACCACAAACGAGACCACCCGGCCCGACCACGTCTCAGAGTCCAAACTGAAGCTCGACCACAACCCCCAGCCAACGACAATACCACAAGCGGCACATCTCTAAGCCCACCATCAACACTAAATGCCACCCAACAAAAGATCGACCGAATCATGTCCCCAGCTTCAGCCTCTCCAGCGACGAGATTGGGCATTTCCCCAGCAGATTCCACGCGCTTGCCCTTTGCGGATGCCGACGGTGCCATTGAAATCAATGAAAATGAAGAGCCCGAGTCAGAGCAGGAACCACCCCGGGCAATTCCGCGAGTTGGGGTCTCGATTGCTCGCTCGATATCGGTTTCTAGGGGAAAGCGCCAGATGCTTGTTCCTATCGGGGCCAAGGTTGAACATTTCGATCCTGATGAGAGGTTTGTGCAGAGAAGAGTCTTGACGTCGCAGATTATGGATGCTCATCGGGGTCATCGGCCTGGTGTGTCGCAGGAATTGCGAATCGAGTCTTTTTGATTTTTGATTGTGTCATTCTTTTTCATTTCTTATTGTTTTCTTTTTTTGCCCTTCCTTTTTTCCATTAATTTTCTTGCTTATATTCTGATTTCCCTTTGGCATACTCCATTCAATGTGCATATCTCCTTTTCAGCTTTAACAATTCTGTTTGTATATATCTATCTAATACCGCATATGTATGATCTTTATGTCAAGCACTATCATTTGGTCCGAGTGGTGGTGTCTATGACAAGGTTCACGGAAGGTGGGGCCGTCTGTAACACCCTCCGTCTTGGTGCATGTACTACCGTACGCGACCTGCTCGCAAAACTTTGCTGTGCTCCCACTGCCCTGAGAGGAAAGGTAACGTCCTGCACGTGACTGAGATTAAACCTTATTCTATTCTAACCATTGCTACACTGGCACAAATGGAGACGGATGAGATATTTTGGCTCGCACGGGGCACCTGCGGTCTGAACACTGGCGATGTAGGCCTCGTTGACGGAGGGCTACAGCGCCGTGAGGGCTGCAGGCGGGCCCGTGGCACTCCGTATATTCTAGGAGGAAAAATAGCTATGCGAGAGCATACGTGGTATATACATGAGGGGGTTCCGCGGTGGGCGGGAAGAAACCGTCGCGGAGAGAGCCCGGCTCTCCCTCGAAACGGCGATGTTCTTTTCGAGGGAGGGGAAGGCCAGGCGATATTTGTGTGCGATGTCCAGCACGGGATATCGTGGGCCCGACGCAAGGGGCTCTCACGCAACAGTCCCGAATAGAACCTATCATTTCCGTGGCGGTGAGTCCACTCAACAAGGGGTCGGCTAGCTCGTAATACTCGCTCTCCGTCAGAACCAACTCAAAGATAGACCCGATGACGTTACGATATCTTTGGGGTATTGGGAATCTGTATACCCATGCCTTTGGCTTCATGTCTGGATGCGGTGGGGCAATCATGGCCGGCTTGCAGAGAGTATGTGGCCTGTTTGATATCCGTAGCAGCTTGTAATCCATGATTACTTGTGTTCCCTCAATGGATATTGTAATGACAAGATCTTGTAGGTGAAAAATCGACCACAAGGGCAATTATGACCTTTAAATGTTGTGGGCTGAAGCGGTCATGTCAGCCTTTGAACGCATATTCACAATTATCTTTTCGCGAGTCACCCTTATCGGCACCGGCTCCTAGGAGCACTGTGGATTTTGCCTCAAACGCGGTATAAGGGTAAGAGACCTCAGCAGATTAGCTATATCCTCAGAGTAGTTGTGTCTCTCCACTAAGCCATGAGCCTACATCGCTTCTCACTGTCAGGTATCATCTCCTGCTATTCTGGAGCCTGGTCATCCTCTCGCATATTTGCTTGAATTTCTGCTGGGTATCTATGACAGGGAGATGAGAAGCTCCACTATCGCTTCATTTCCATGCCGAGCTGCCCATAATAATGGTGTCCGATGATTATTGTCCATCGAGTCCACCTCCACGTCATCTCGCTCAACCAGTAGCTTCACCACCGCTTCACGTTCATACCCAGTTACAAAAGACAGTGACCCAGCCGCATAAGACAGTGGTGTCCGGCCATCATCATCTCTTGAGTCCGCCTCCACATCATCTCGCTCCAGAAGCAGCTTCACCACCGCTTCATGTCCACCCCATGCTGCGTACGATAGCGGTGTCCGACCCTCATTATCCTTCGAGTCCGCCTCCACATCATCTCGCCACAGTAGCAGTTTCACCACCGCTTCATATCCATTCAAAGCAGCACACGACAGTGGTGTCTGACCGCACTTATCTTTGGAATCCGCCTCCACATCATCTCGCTCAACCAGTAGCTTCACCACTTCTTCATATCCACACTCAGCTGCCCATAATAGTGGTGTCCGATTATTATTGTCCATCGAGTCCACTTCCACATCATCTCGCTCAACCAGTAGCTTCACCACCGCTTCACGGTCATGCTCAGTTGCAAAAGACATTGACCCAGCCGCATAAGACAGTGGTGTCCGACCGTACTTATTCTTCAAGTCTGCGTCCACATCATCTCTCTCAACCAGTAGCTTTACCACCGCTTCATGTCCACCCCCAGCTGCAAATGATAGTGGTGTCCGGCCACAATTATCCTTCGAGTCCGCCTCCACATCGTCTCGCTCCAGTAGCAGTTTCACCACCGCTTCATATCCATTCAAAGCAGCACACGACAGTGGTGTCCGACCGTACTTATTCTTTAAGTCTGCCTCCACATCATCGCGCTCAACCAATAGCTTCACCACCGCTTCATGTCCACCTCCAGCTGCGTACGATAGCGGTGTTCGACCCTCATTGTCCTTCGAGTCCGCATCAATATCATCTCGCTCCAGAAGCAGCTTCACCACTGCTTCACGTCCGCACTCAGCTGCCCGTAATAGTAGTGTCCGGCCATTATTATCCTTCGAGTCCGCCTGCACATCATCCCGTTCAACCAGTAGCTTCACCAATTCTTCATGTCCAAACAGAGCTGCGTACCACAGCGGTGTCAAACCACCATTATCCTTCGAGTCCGTCTCCACATCGTCTCGCTCGAGAAGCAGCATCACCACCGCTTCACGTCCATTCAAAGCAGCACACGACAGTGGTGTCCGACCGTACTTATCCTTCGAGTCCGCCTCCACATCGTCTCGCTCCAGTAGCAGCTTCACCACTTCCTTATGTCCACACTCAGCTGCGTGAAAAAGTGGCGTTTGACCATTCTTGTTCTTCGAGTCCGCCTCCACATCGTCTCGCTCCAGAAGCAGCTTTACCACCGCTTCACGTCCATACAGAGCTGCGAGAGACAGTGGCGTTTGACCGTTCCTGTTCTTCGGGTCCACTTGAGTACTACTTTTCGCTAATAGCAGCTCTTTCAGTCTGCCCTCAGCTTCTTCTGCGAGAAGGTGCAAGATTGTATTTCCTTCTTCATCCTGAACAGAAGTGTGTCGGAACGTCAAGACTCGGGCGAGGTCAGGAACGGCGCGTAAGAGTGATAATTGGTCACGAGGGTTGAGATTCTCCGCCGTGAGGAGAATGATCTCTCTCGGGAGATAAGCACGATCTTTTGGCATTCTCATCGTCTAGCGCATGAGAGATACGGAAAGATAATAAAAACCCACGGCAGTCTGGTCTTCTTGACACGCTTAGAGACGTCGTTAACCTTGAGCGCTGTTTGGAAATAATGTGTTTGTTAGCAGAGGTTCGGGGCATCCCGTTTTGTTATATGGTTGTATTCCTGCTCATCCCAGAGATCTGCTCCATTCCACTTTCTCGGGATAATAAATACTCAGAACTTGGAGGTGATAACGTACTTAGCGGCGGGCTGTGCTTGAACTTGTCAGCCTTGACAGAGTCCTCCAAAGCAAAGCGAGAGTGGATGTGAAATGCAGCAGCGGACCTTGCCTTTTCCCAGTGCAAAGTTGACAAGCTTTCTCTAAGCCTTCCTAGGGCTGGAACCTCGTGGAAAGATCAGCCGTGGCTCAACGAATCGAACAATCTCGCTGCCCAAGTTACGCCACGTGCCTGGTGGGTCAGCAGGCATTGGACGGAACGGCCAAGGACAAAAAGTCAATTTGCTTCAGCCGCTGGGTGAGGACACACCCACCCTGGGTGCCTCTCCATTCGGCTGGCTGTATTCCTGTGGTCTGTACGGCTGTAGCCACAAATCTTATCTGCGTGTTCCCAACAACATTCGCACAAGACACCGGTTTCTGTCTCAAGTATTTCAATCGTAGACCAACAAGTCATCGTCCTCAGGAGTTGCCAACGGAATGAACAAGACATCTCACACCGACGAGCCCCTCGAGGGTGACGGCTACAACCAGAGCCCCAATCCAAACTCCAACGACCTGACCACCAACGAGGACTTCAAATGCCTCGTCAACAGTCGGGCCGTGCGAGAAAGCGACTCCCAGGAACTACCAAACGCAGCCTCGAACGTCCCAGGGCAAACAGCCAGCGATGCTCCTACCGAAAACGACGGTCACGGCAAGGCCACCTACCGGCTAGCTCAGCGGTCAATTGATCGTGGCCAGTCCCCTAAGGGCGGTCTGCAAATACCTGCAATCGCCCACCCCCCGGGTTGTCCGCCAGCTTCGGCTGGTGCTGACGCCGCTTGCGTCGCGCTGCCCCAGCGCGTCAGGAAGATGCTCGCTATCTTTGGCTCCCTCATCGGGCGGGGCTTTATGATTTCGGTTGCCTACGGAAAAAAATCATGTAAAATGGCGAATCTGATTTCGAACTTGGTTGTACTCCTGCTGGCAAACTTGTGCAAACGCAGTGAAAGCTCAACACGGAGATTGTACCGTAAACGCAAGAGATCAATTTCACTTCTAATTCCTGTCCAAGCAAACGGCCGAATGCCCATTGATGTTTGGTGGTTGGACGTCTAGCCCGGGTCAGCGCAAGTCTCGCTTGACCTACTACTGTCACCTATTTTGTAGGAAATTGGTATTGGATAAAGTAGTGAAATCGGTTGCTTTTACAGTTGAACCGCAATGATAACCGGTTCGACCGCGACTGACCGTCTCAACCGCGATCTGATCCGTTGCCCCACTTGAACCGTGCGCTGACATGTTTATCCGACCAATTCTGCTCTTTTGAACGTTCGTAATATTTTGTATCGAACACCATCGCGACGGTCAAATCAAGGATATCCATATCCACATGGAGCCCGATCCAGTAATTGATTTGAAGTGTATTTCCAGGAGCAACATGGCTGCCAGATCAGATTGTGTCATTATTTAGCGACGAAAGCCACAATTGAAGGCATGTCCAATCGAGAGTCTGCTATACTGTTCCAGGAGCTTTGCGCTTTTAGGCTTTTCAATAATAATCCACTAATACCTTCTAATGTGATAATATCCGTCAACTGTTCTCTACCTTTAAGTTGCATACTGATACGAGGCTGGCCCTCTCCTTTGGAACTTGACTGTGGGAACTAGTCCGCAGACAACCCGCGAGATGGCTTCAACCTTTCGAAGTCTGACATTCAATGGATTTAGTATCATGAGAATAGGTG